CCAAATGAGATATTTGGAGGCGAACTTCGACATTTTCTTCTTCTTCTTAAATTTGTCGTCCACATCGAACTTGCTCTTGCCGGTGAAAAACTCCAACCCCGGAATTTGCTTAAAATCGGCTTTTATATACGTTTCGTCGTCCATCACACAGCAGCCATATTTTGTCAGCATCTTCTCGTAGAGCTTCCGTGCCCAAGTTTCAGCCGTCGATTGTTGCCGCTCATCGCGGTTTGGGAAGTTCTGTACCTTGTATGTATGTAGTCCAGCTCTCTTCTTTGCATTCTGGACGTAGCTCTGCGACATGCCGATCTTTTTAGCCAAATCACGGCTTGAGACGTTGGGATTTGCTTTAATCATCCGCTTCACCTTTCCCTCCGTCTTTTTGTTCTCCGGTCCCGGTTTTCTTCCAGCTCCTTTGCCGTGGTCCAACGTCAACCGCTCCTGGAACCGCTTCAACACTCTGGAGACGGTTGAATGGTGAATGTTCAACATTTTTCCCAACTGCCGGTGCGACAGGTCAGGAAATTCCAGGTGTTTGGAAAGAATTTGTTCTCTCAACTCGCGTTGGTTCACCTCCATTTTCGTTGAATCGAAAAACACGACTTCGAGTTTGACAGCATGTACACAATACACATCAATGAGAAAGTGTGCAAAATTTGGTTGATTTTTACCCAATGGTAAAAAAGTTATACCCTGTTCAATGTGTCGCAATAATTTCGTGTTCGCCCTTTACAAAGCTTATATAAACTGTTATAGAACATATGTGTTGCTTGGGTAAAATTTAATGGCAAGTTGGTGTTAACTCATCAATTTTGTAATAACTTCGGACCCTGCCCTTTGGCTCAATGAGGGTAAGAGCGCGTTCTGCCTGGTTGGTCCAGGCAAATTTCAGAGTAAGTGATGACACTGGACATTGCACATAACAATTCACTTTAAAAGGTGCGTTTAATATTTCACTACATGTAGTTCCAAAGAGCCTGAATGAAATGTGGCGCTTGTGAAGATCACTTGAAGATATTGCCTTTTTCACGACTGCTTAGATTTCTGTGATAATCGTGCACTGCCCTTTTTCGAATTTCGCACTGTCAAAGTAACCGATCTGTGACGTTTCGTTCGACTGAGGAATTTGATGTTTATTCCCAAGCAGGATTTTTTGTAGTGGAGTCCGGCATGGACAATATCATAGCAGAAGTGAAGAACCGGCTAGCTTCGACTAACACAGTCTATCATGTGTTGTACGGCTATTACTTTTTAGGTCTTAGCAGAACTCAACTCGCCAAAATTTACAAGAAAAACAAAACTACGATTTATAACTGGATACAGCGATACGAGGATGATGGATACTTCAACCGAACATCATATGCTAGAACAGCACAACAATTTGGTGCCGAAAAACGTCGTTGGATAGTTCAGTTGTATCATGATAAACCTACTACTTTCCTGGATGAAGCAGCAAAACTTTTTTCTGAAACACACCCATACAACCATCTCCGTGTCATCGATTTGTAGAATCCTTCATCACGAGGGAATGACGTGGACAGCTATTGAACGCAGAGTTATACAGATAAAGGAGGATGATGTTCTCAGATATTATCATGAAATGTCAGCTTTCGAGTGGGACTACCACAATCTTCTCTTCCTAGATGAAGTCAGCTTTGACAATAAATCTATGCTGCGAACGAAAGGATTTGGTGCTCGAGGGAAACGACTCCTTTTCAAAGGTGAGTTCGTCAGAAAACCTCGGGAATCTCTACTGTGCTTCGCTGGACAGGAAGGTATGGTGGAAGTTTGCCACACAGAAGGAACGTTCACGAGATCGAGTTGGTTTACTGCTGTAAACACCAGTGGACACGTACAAGATCATCCAGGATTCCATTCCGTGTGGATCCTAGACATAGCTCGGATCCACTGCGACCCCTACTTGGTGTACTATTTCAGGACACTGGGTATTCATCTGATTTTTCTACCTGCTTACGAAAGTGGACTACAGTAGCTGCCCGCATAAACGCGAACCATAAATTGACCTTACCTAAAATGGTTAAAAATTGTTTATAATCCCTGCTAAACTTTAACTGAAATGGTTATGGAACTTTACATGAACGTTTTAATGATAAAGTTTCAACCTTATGTATTATGGTTTTTTGGAACTGGACCTTACAAATAATGGGTTGTTAAGAAAAATTACCGTTCCAAATTCTTGTTTTCTCCATACATTTTCCGAAAGAGAACTATATTAGAACCTTTTAACTTATGGTTACTGCTGCTCCTTCTACTGGTCCCCCTAATAAAAATTGTATGGTTAATTTGCTTAACGACGTGTTCTGGGTATCATCCAAACAATTTGTGGAATAGTTCAATGATTTGGGTTATCGTTCGTTTATGGTTATTTTTTATTAGGGCCGTCTTCTCTAAAATTCATAAAAAAGACGGACCAGCAGCAGCATTGCAAGCAGCCGTGGGAGCTGCATCGCTAGTTCGTGTAGCCATAGCCGGAAACCTCGGTCAGGTCAAGATATCGTTGTCAGCTGTTCTTCGTCTGGTAGGAAATGTGGATGCGACTGCCGTCACGGGTGTAGCGATTTTGAGAATCCATGGCGAGACTTGATGGAGATTCACGAAGAAATTTTGAAAATAATTTGATTATATTGTGGCAACATCAATAACAAATTTTGACATATGCACACTGCGTAAGCTCAAAAAAAGGTCAGTGTTGCCAGTAACTATAAAGATCATAAAAATTGTAACCATGGGTGCCAAACAGCGTCAATGACGACGCCCGGGTGTGCCCAAGTTTGATTTTGGCACACTGTGTAGAGTGACCAACCCCTTGTAACTTTCGAAATGTCATTTTTAACCACGAGTTAAATTTAACTCAGCAAATGGTTCACAGCCTAAAAAAGGCAGTGCACGATTAACACAGAAATCTAAGCAGTCGTTCAAAAGCCAATAAGTACATTTCACACAAATCGTGAAACCAACAATCAATATGAAACTATCGATTTGAAATTGGCTCACTACTTGACTAGCCTATTGGTCCCAAGCAAACGATTAACGTACCCCATTCTTGTAAAAATTCTAGTACTACACAATGTTTGTTTTGATTCGCTATGAAAGTTTGACAGATAAAATGAGGGGTTATTGGATTTTCCTATGTTTCGAGGGATGAATCGATTAGCTTGGGACCGAAGATAGTACCAGAGCTGAGCCAAAAAGTAGAGCTCGTTTCTTTGGGACTTACTAGTCTTAGAGTTACCTCTATGGTGAAACTAACTTGGAACCTAGCGTGGAGCACTCGCTCATATCCTGGCTCATATAAATAAACCAATCGTTATACAAATATTCTCAAATTTGACAGGTTGGATTGGTTTGTTTATAAACAACACATGATGGAAACATTCTTGGAAGTGCTGCCAGAATTGATGAAAAATTATCTTTTATGTGATGGCAGCCTGCGTGACAAGGTGTTTGGAATGTCCCTAATAAAAAAATACCATAAACAAACGATAACCCTAATGGTATAACTATTTCACCAATGGTTGAGAAGATACCCCAAACACGTTTTTAAGCAAAATAACCATTAAAAATGTATTAGGGGTGTCGGAGTGTGTTTTTGTGGGTATTAACACAAGGTGGCAGAGTGACTTACCCCCTGCGCTCTACCCTATCTAGTAGAATGTTAAATAGTCAAACTTTTAATTCCACTGCTGAAAGAGTACTGCTCTTTGTAAAACTTCGTTAAAGCATAATAATCCGTTCCGAAAAGCTGAGGAAATAACCTCTCCAACGGTATCAAAACATTAGGGAACGAATAAATAGAATCCGAGATTCATCATTCTGAAAAAAAGTGGCGAGTTTATTTTCAGTGTGGAAAAAAATCCATCCCATTTTCACCGTCGAATTTCTGACTAAATATCTCGTAAATCTACCTGTGGTTTCACTGTGACTCGCACTCAAGGCACACAATAAAAACGAAGTAGGCAATATAATCTGCTTGATGTTTGCGGTTGCGACATTTCCGGATATCATTTGAATATGTTATCTTTATGTTGAGTAACCTTTAATGAACCTCATCAACCAATTCCCCCCTCTACAACATCTCAAATCCTTTCATTTGACGTCATGTTTCGAAATCGACACTCATTTCTCAACTTAAGCCCCGTGTGGAAAACAAAAGGGGTGGGAGTTGGCGCTCCTGCATATCGCATCCGAGAGCCTCCCGTTGGGGATTCTCATTTTAGTTTCGCGCTAACTTCTACCCTCTGATGCAAGAAGTTTTCTGCTCAGTCCTCCACGGACGAACGAGGATTGGAATATCACAGCGTGTGTTGTTGTTTGCCGACATAAATTAGCAGCTGAAACTTTGCCGACGAAAAGTGGTTATGACTTGCTGTGTAGTTTCGGTCGCAGCGTTGGCAGAATTAGGTTAAAATACTCTACTGAGTTCCATAATTCAAAAATTCAATCTGGCAACTCCGTTTCACCCGTCCCCGATGGTTACTAGGGACACAGCCGTTCAAATCACTAACGTGTTAATGTCGCTGCCTACTACCAACCCGATGGCGGCGACCATGTGGTTTCCACGGAAACCACACCCCTACCGAGGTGGTACACACAAGTGCCGTTATTCAGGTACCTACTTGCTGCCAAAATGCTTGGTCGATACTTTTCTTCAAACCCTTACGACGGGGATCTCGCGCGCTACCTCGGCACATGTTTATATCCATCCCTGCGTGGATGGGGCTCATTTTCCATATTCTGTTTTAATAGTAGTTCAGTTAGTGCTGTCGTTAGCTTTCGGCGGATTTACTACTGCTACACTGGTTGAGTTGTGAGCTTTGAACTAGAAAAAGAATAAACATCAGAAAAGACGCAAAGACGCCAGACGGCGGCTACGATAACCGGCATTATGCTTGTCAGTATTATTATTCGTTGTAGAGTGGTCAATTCACGCTGAGAAAAAAAAACGTAGTAGCTTAGTTGTTGTACCTATCAAAACAAAAACACTAGTGACAATCCAACGGTGACTTCGATTTCGTCGAACATTAATTGATTCCAATATTCACTAATCATTCAAATTTCTCTCTGCTTTTCCAGACGAGCAAACGACGCAGAATGGGACGGAAAGTGACGGTCGCCGTTGCCACCCTGAACCAGTGGGCGCTGGATTTCGAGGGAAACATGTCCCGCATCATGGAGTCGATTCTGGAGGCGCGCGAAATGGGAGCCACCTATCGGACCGGGCCGGAGCTGGAAGTGACGTAAGTGGAAATGGTTATGTAATAGTAGATGCCGTAAAATGGGGTGAATTGGAAGATTGCTCAGTTTACTCTTCAGGATAAACATTGTTTGTGATTGTACTAGGTTGTTGTTGTTCTTCTATTAAGAAGACTTTAGATTGCACTAGGAGTGAACTCTTATGGTATTCTATTAAAGACTAGCATTTCGACAGTGAGCATGCATAAGGGCGTATACACGATGATCGATTGTCTTCATCGATTTTCTCTTTGCATTGCTACAGCTAAGCGAAACAATTTTCTAGAATTTCCGAAGAACTTCGAGATTAGGGCATAATTACTTTTGTAAACAAACACCTCAATCATCGGTTTCTCACGAATTAAAGCTCAACCTCGAAAACTAACAATACAAACAGGTAGAGGAATGATTCCACTGTCATTTGGTATAGGTTGTTTGCATGATTGAGCTTCTATTGTCTATCTATCTAATCATGTTGGGATACTTGTAATGCTTTCTTAAACCTGGGAAAACATGAGGCAAATTTACTCATCGCTGAGATCCTGCACTTTATGCGATTTATGAGTAAGCTAAACAGTTACTGTTACTCAAATTTAGGCGAAAGGGCCTCTCAAATTGAACACTAAACTCCTCCACTAAAAGCTTATCACCTTCAATTTTCATCCATTTCACACACACACAGTGGCTACAGCTGCGAGGACCACTTCCACGAATCGGACACCTATCTGCACTCGTGGGAGATCCTGCTGGAGATCATGATGTCGCCGCACTGCCAGAACATGCTGATCGACGTCGGCATGCCGGTGCAGCACCGAAACGTGGCCTACAACTGCCGGGTGGTGTTCCACAACAAGCGCATCCTGCTCATCCGGCCGAAGCTGGTGATGTGCGACGACGGGAACTACCGCGAGACGCGGTGGTTCTCCTCCTGGACCAAGGTTTGATTCGATTCCTATTGCTTCACAATTGTAGCTTAACAAAGTGTTTCTATCCCCGTAGGTACGTCAAACCGAGGAATACTACCTTCCGCGGATGATTGCCTCGGCCACCGGGCAGCATACGGTGCCCATCGGAGACGCCGTCGTCGCCACCAGGGACACCTGTTTGGGGTACGAGATCTGCGAGGAGTTGTGGAACCCCCGAAGTACCCACATCGATATGTCCCTGTCGGGGGTGGAGATTATAGTCAACAGTTCCGGAAGCTACATGCAGCTGCGAAAGGCCTACATAACGACGGATTTGATCCGGAATGCCAGCTACAAGGCAGGTGGTGCGTATTTGTTCAGTAACCTTCGGGGGTGCGATGGCCAGCGGGTGTATTTCAATGGGTGTTCGGCGGTTGCCTTGAACGGTCATGTCATTGCCAGGGGGAAGCAATTTTCTCTGGAGGACGTTGAGGTCACAACGGCGACAGTGGATTTGGAGGACATCCGGTCGTATCGGGTGGCTATGCGCTCGCGTTGTACAATTGCCGCATCAACTCCGACCTATCCTCGGGTGAACGTCGACTTTGCCCTGTCCCATGCATGTGACCTGAACATCCCACCGAGTGCCCCTCTCGAGTGGATCTATCACAGTGCGGAGGAGGAAATTTCACTCGGACCGGCTTGCTGGATGTGGGATTATCTTCGTCGGTCGGGTCAAGGTGGCTTCTTCCTGCCGCTGAGTGGAGGAGTCGATTCGAGCAGTACGGCCATTATCGTACACTCCATGTGCCGTCTGGTCGTGAAATCGATCATGCTCGGGGACATTCAGGTGCTGCACGACATCCGGAAGATTCTCGCCGATCCGGAATTCACTCCGGACAATCCGGCTGCACTGTGCAACCGTCTGCTGGTGACGTGCTACATGGGCAGTGAGAATTCAAGCAAGGAAACCCGCCAAAGGGCGAACAGTTTGGCCAATCAGATTGGGAGCTATCATCTGGAGATCAACATCGATGGCGCAGTGAGTGCTTTGCTGTCGATCTTCAACACCGTTACGGGAATGAAACCCTTGTTCAAAACACAAGGAGGCTGTCCGAGGCAGAATTTGGCTCTGCAGAACATTCAGGCGAGGACGAGAATGGTCCTGTCGTACTTGTTTGCCCAGTTGATACTTTGGGTACGCAACCGACCGGGTGGCTTGTTGGTTCTGGGATCGGCCAACGTCGACGAAGCCCTGCGTGGATATATGACCAAGTATGACTGCTCGTCGGCCGATATCAACCCCATCGGAGGCATCTCCAAGACGGATCTGAAACGTTTCTTGTTGTTTGCCAAGGACAAGTTCAATCTTCCCATAGTTTTGGATATCGTTGCCGCACCACCAACTGCCGAGCTGGAACCACTGCATGAGGGCGCCCTTGCCCAAACGGACGAAGAAGACATGGGCATGACCTACCATGAGCTGAGTGAATTTGGCCGCCTGCGGAAGCAGAACTACTGCGGTCCTTACAGCATGTTCTGCAAGTTGGTATCGATGTGGAAGGAGAGCTGTACACCACGGGAAGTCTCCGACAAGGTGAAGCACTTCTTCCGCTGCTATGCCATCAATCGGCACAAGATGACGGTCCTTACGCCATCGTACCACGCCGAATCATACAGTCCGGATGACAATCGGTTCGACCACCGACCGTTCCTGTACCGGGCCAACTGGAGCTGGCAGTTCAAGTGTATCGATGAGGAGCTGGAGCGGACCACGTGCCCAGTCACGGCACCGCCGTCATCCGGCGATGACAAGAGCGGCAGTGGTGGTCATTATGATATCGGTTCGGCCAAGAGCGGCCACTCACCAAGTAGTGCTCGGCGGGGAATCAGCGGTGGGGACAAGAGTACTTCACCGTTGGTCTTCTCCGAAGCCGGAAACACCGGAATGAGCAGCGGCGGTAGTGCCCACCAACTGAACAACAACCACACCGGACACGAGTCGTTGAAGTTGACCAAATCGCACAGCAGTGGAGGCTACTCGAAGATGCATTCGAGTGTGATGGGGAAGATTAAGGATAGAACCGGCGTGCCAGTTTAAGTCAGTCGCATAAACGGAAAAAATACCACGCATAAATAGGGCCAGTAAGTAGCTGAAGTGATGAATTTGGAGATCACCAATAACGCTTTACCAATTATTACCGATGCCAGTTACACGTGCTGCTGCACACACATACAACCTAGCAGTTAGAAAATAAAGTCAGGCTTTTTTAAACGGAAACTCGAAAAAAATTTCCACTTTTCTAGTTGATTTTCTGTTCATTGTGCTTTTCGAAGTTTACGCATAATTAAGGCAACTTACAATAACAAAATGAATAACCTTGCACTGTCACTTACCGATATTGAACCTTAAATACAAAAACGAAAACCGAAAAGTGCGCATAACGAACGAGCGGAGGAGATTTTAGATTCTTTTTATAGTTCATATAGGCATATTCTTACCTAACTGAATACCTAAAATAAATAACTTAGAATTACAAGCAGAGCAGACCTCAACAAATGTAATTGTTAGCACCACAAGCACACATACTCACGGTTAGACGACCCCAAAACAAGGGCGCTATTTACTAAAATTCTAGGGAACAACGACTTTCGAATTACGATGGAAATATTTAAAATTACTAGTATCTAGGTACAACTTTGATAGCAAAATTGGGATCCTAATAAAGGTTGGAAATTTAGAGGAAAATATCCCAGGTTGTAGAATATGTCGGTAGGGTTGAAAGAACGCTCCTTTGCTTGAAGTTTCACAGGATTTAATTTAGGGTCAGCAGCCTATCGCAACTCATCCTTTCAAATGGCTTCAGCTATACAATAGAAAGTTAGTGCCTGTGGTTCGAATAGATCTTTTATTGATAATCCCGAATCATTTAGTGACTTGTGCATGGAAGATTGTGAACAGTAGCTGCTGTGGAAAAAGCATATACGGTTAGCCCAGTATTATGGGTCAGTCAGTTCCGCCTCTGCGTGTTAATCAAATGGAAGTGGCCCATAATTGTGGGTGACCCATAATATTGGGGTGACTGTAGATGTTTATTCCACAGCAGCAGCAAGAAGATGAGGACGATGTTGACTTTAATGCCTTGAGACAAGATCCATCGAAACAGCATTTGGTGAGATCTGTCCATAATATTTGACTAGCAATGTATATGTTTGATCAGTATCATTGCTTGTTTTTGTCACTAAGAAGACCTATTTTGATTAATGAGAGGGCGCGTCTTTGGGAAGATCCGGGAACACTTCGAATGATGTGAAAAATCACAATACTGTAAAGGGACCATATTTGACGCATACTATAACTAATCATGTTTGTATTACTTCATGCGTGAAGTTAACGCATAGATGGAGATGCTTAACCCTTTGTCTGTATCTTGGGGTCTAATGGGACAATTGAGTGAATATACCCGAGCAAAGCTGAAGATCAAATTGAAATCAAAATTTGTTGTTATGATGTAACTTATTTTGAATACTCCAGTTGATCTCATTTTGGTTGACTTAACGGTTAACACAGCAAAAATGAGAGCAAAATTTTACGCTGTTGAAGCAAACGGAAAACTAATCCTGCTTTCAATGAAATCAATTTGATTACTGATTTTGCATTCATAATGTTTAACTGAATACGGACCTGGAGTAAATGGTTACCATTCATGTTTCTCAAGCTGAAAGACTTGGGCTCCAATCTCACCCCGGGCAAGTCACGAATGACCTAAAATGTGTCAAACAAATCAAATAATCATTAGTTCAACGACAGATGAATTTCAATTAAATTTTAAACAAGACGTAAACATGAAGTTCTGCTGTTAAGTTAAGTTGCTTTCATTTAAAAAGTCTTGACTGCATAATGAAAGCACAATATGATATCAGACTTATGTCGTAAAATATGAAATCAAAATGAGTTTTCATTATGATAGGAACTGCACACTTTAATATCGATTTGCTTTCATTTTGTTAACCGACTTTGCTCGGGTAGGTCTGCTTGGTGTAATTGATGAATTGAAACTAAATTTATGCGTTACTACATATTATCATGGCATGCTACTGCTTGTAGCTAGTTCATCGGTTACTTCTCCATCATCCCCGCTTAACCGAGAATTCTACCAATCCCTATTGTTTGTCGTTCAGCTTCAAGTTTAGGGACCGGCACCGCCTTTGTTAGAAGATCTGCTGTTTGAAGATGACTGCCAACGTGCTCCAACTTGATATTCTTCTCTTCCAGTTTCTCACGAACAAAGTGATGTCGGATATCGATATGCTTACTGCTTGCTGAATATCCGACTTCTCTTTCAGCAAGGTGAATCGCACTTCGGTTGTTGCAAAAGATGGTTATCGTTCCGTCTTGTCCTGATAGGTCCGCCGTATTCATCTCCACTAGATGGCTTCTTGTGCTACCAATGATACCGCCATGTATTCAGTCTCCGTCGTTGATAAGGCCACGGTTTATTGCTTACAACAGCTCCACGAAATCGGTCCACCTGACTGCATCAAGACGTACCCGGTGATAGAGCGTCGCGTCTCGATATCGTTTCCCCAATCTGCGTCGCTGAATCCAACGAAACCGTTATCTGCTTGCTTGCGGTAGGTAAGCTTCATATCCTTCGCCTGGAGTTACGCGCTCCCTCGCACTGCGCCTTACCAACTGTTGTGGGTCCTCTGTTTGTGGAGGGAGCGCAGCAGGTTGTTGATCATCGTTGTCGCCATTCTCGGATTTGTGGCTGTCACTGAGCTCGTCCTGATCCGTTAGTGATTCGTGATCACCTTCGTCAACGCCCTGTTCCTCCGCATCCTCTTGTTCGTTCCGCACAACTATTTCGATAGGAGTTGGCTGTGCGACAGGATCAGCTTCTCTCAGCATTATTCGGTCTTCGCCTAAAAATATCACGTCACGGCTAACTACTACGTTCTGCGCTTTAAAACTGTACACCCTGTACGCTTCCGTGCCATGAATATACACCGCTCAGACTTCGCATCCCACTTCCGTCGCTTCTCTTTGGGAACGTGCACCATTACCTCGCTTCCAAACACACAAAGGTGCGATAAATCGGGACGATTTCCAGTGAACCTTTCCTCGGGAGTGACCGGTAGGCCTTTTGTCGGTGATCGATTGACCACGTAAGAAGCAGTGGCTACTGTTTCCGCCCAGAATCGCTTCTCTAGTTCAGCATCGCATAACATGCTTCTTGCTCGCTCGACTAACGTGCGATTCATCCGCTCTGCTAGCCCGTTCTGCTCCGGATTGTACGGAACCGTGGTTTCCTGGTGAATGCCAGCTCGCCGAAGGTAACGGCGCATCACCAGATTGACGTACTCCTTGTCATTGTCCGTTCTGATCCGCTTGATTTGCTCACCCGTCTGTTTCTCTCCATACGACTTGAAATCCTCGAACGCTTCTAACACATCTGCTTTTGATTTCAGGAAATAGACGAACGCCTTCCTGCTAGCATCGTCGATAAACGTTAGGAATTATCGACGTTGTCTCCATCGGCCCACAGAGATCAGAATGGATCAGCTCAAGCAAACGTTCAGTCCAGTGATCCTTCGCCTTAAACGGCTGTCGTAGGTGCTTGCCTTGGATACACGGCACACATTGAAAGGAATTTGTATCCTCAAACTCCATTCCAGTTACCATGCTTCTGAGTCTCCTCATGCAGCCAGCCGATAGCTGGAAGCTGTTCTGCCCTCGAGCCAAGTGAACTGATGAACTTTTAGCCAACGCCAACTTGTAGAGTCCATCCCAATGCTGTCCGATCACCACAACTTCGTTCGTAGTGCTGATAATTTTACAAGAGTCTTTGTCGAACCTGACCTGATACCCGTTCTGCCACATCTTGCTCACGGATAACAAATTTAAAATGGTGATTTCACAAGACGTACCTCCAATGTCTGCTTCCAAATTGACGGCGCCGATGGCAACAACAGCAGCTGCAGTGCCATTCGCAACGTTGATGCTTGCTGACACGTTCTCTGCAACCTTCAGATGGTCCTTGTTCCGGCACAGATGTGTTGTAGCTCCGGAATCAAAAATCCAGTCAACATCGTCCTTGGTCGACTGTACCGTATTAAACGCCGCGAAAAATGCAGCATCGCCACTATGTTTCGCACGGGTTTCCTTCCTTTCACTGGCATTGCGACGCATAGTGTCCCAACTTCTTGCACCGAAATCACTTCACGCTCGATGGATCGGTAGGTCTCTTCTGCTCCGTTTTTGTGGCTTCTTGCTGATATTCACATCTTGCAAAATTTTCGCCTTGACAACGTCCGCTGTAAGCTTCATACCCGACGACTCCAATCCCAGGATAATCGATTCGTACTGCTTCGGTAGACCCTTTATCAGCAGACTCGTCAGCCAAATATCGTCGACTTCGAAACCGATAGCTGGTGACTTGTCGTAAAAAGTTCGTTCACGTACTCCTGCGTCGTTTGGCATATGATGTCCTCATCGCGTTCAGCGCCAATCAGCCGGATCCCCGTAAGCCTTCTCAGCAGTCGAATTTTCCTGGTGGAACCACTGTGCTCGTACGTATTCCGCAGACTGTCCCAAGCCTCTTTCGCGGATTTTTCGTTGCGCACCAGCCCATAAATCTTGGGATCGATGCTCAAGCATATCGTGGCCACAGCTTGCTCGGAAACATCTTCACTAACCTCCGGATCGCTCTCCTGCTGTTCCTTCACTGCGCACCACGTTCGTTCCTTGATCAGGATCATCTTGGTCGTGAAAGACCAGGAGCTGTAGTTCTCCGCGCCGCGTAGAATCTCTCTCACCGGCAACGAAACTGAACTTCCTGGCATTCGTCCGTTAGCCGGGGCTCTTCCGTTTTCTCGTCCACCCGAGCCTTCGCCCGAGCCTCTGCCATCCATTTTCATCAAAAATTTCTTGCTTCGAAAAAAATTGGAAAAATTTTCTTCTTCACCAAACAGAGCCGTTTCTATAGCAACTGTTGGAGGCGAACCAGCCCAACGCTGAAAGCCTCCCTAAGAGCAACCGTAACGGTCGTTGTCATTTGGGCGACTATTTTAACCTAGGGGCAAGCCAGCTGTACTTCGAGTTAATATTTTTGCATTGAGTAAATTTGAGTTACTCATAATTACTCAAAAGTGATCAAAGTAGTCTTACGTCAACAAGTGAAAACATTTTGAATAAACATCATCTGTCATCAGTTTAAATAAACATCGACTGAAATCCGACGAACACTTGTGATGAGGTTCCGGATACGATTCCGATGATGGCGGATGATACTGTGCTTATCATATCAGCAAGGTTATTGGTACGGCTACTTGTGTACCGTTGATTAGTGAGATGGCAGTTTAGTAGTGGGCTGGTATGTAGATGGATTAGTACAGGTGCCGCAGAAGGAAGTAGTGTTAGTTTGTTATTATCAATCCTCCTCGTGTTTATTCGCGAAATTCACATCAAAGATTGATCAGTTGCGAAGGAAATCAATTTGGCAAGGCATTTGTGACCAGCATACACCTTCCGGTCGTATGAAACAAGTCCAAATCCGTCCGTATTTTTTTGGAACCGTTTATGGCATAATGGTAAACTTTTGATGAACATTAACGGCAAATAACTCACTAACACTAGCGGACCGTGAGTACTGTGTCACCTATACATCCTTCCATCTTGGGCTGGTATGGCAGTTTCGCGGCTATGTGGAACTGATTCCGATGCTA